CTCTCTGTCGACGCGTCGGGCCGCGCGCTCAGCCACTATCTCGAACTCCTCGTCTTCGTCGGGTAGCTGAGGCAGTCTACACTGCAGTTCCAGGCTGTCGGCGAAAGCCTCGGCCTTTTCCTGGTTCGTGTAAACCACTCCCACATTACCGTGGATTTGGAGGAATTTTACGGCGAGCGGTCGTCTAGCGATTTACAATCGTAGTCACATTTTAAAACTTGCCCAATATTCCCAATCAGCTGATTGGGCTGACCAACCAAATATTTGTCCGCTGAACGACTGACCGGTCGGACCATTCGTTGAACGCAGCCAAGGATATTTAAATTATTATAAAATAAATTTCCTTGGAACGCAGCTTTTATTTCGCCATAACCTATTAAAATTTAATTTCAAAAAAGGATACGTTTCCAATAAATTAAAATATGAATTGTTGAAGGTTGAAGTGAAATAGGGAACACTTAAAAAAATAAGCAAATAAAAAGCTCATTTAATATGTAATTTTAAAAATGTACTAAGTTGTGCATATCTCTAGTTATATTCCTATTATATAAAAATGAACAAGATTAGGTAACATTGGAAAATATAGTTTTATACAAACATGTATGATGAAACAGAGGTTTTAGCTGACTTAGCTGGAATACCAGCCGATCCTCCACTTATGCGTGATGTCTGCCCCCAGTGCTAGTAAGTAAACACAAAGTAATGATAAAATTTTTAATTGCTGCACGTTTTAGTCGCCCCACTACTGTTTGCTACTGTAGTTCGATTCCTAACCCACCACTGTGCCCCAAAAGTAGGGTCATCATCCTGCAACACCCTGCTGAAGAAAAAAGGTGCCTTAGAACTGCCACCATGTTGCAATTAGGCCTACAGGCCGACAGATGCTTAGTTTTTAAGGGCAAGCGTTTTCCAGGTCGTTGGCCCGAACTAAACGTCATTCTGAGTGCCCCAAATACATTATTACTATATCCCAGCCCTGCCGCTGTTGACATTAGAGAAATATCTAGGCGGAGCGACAGTATCTCTTACAACATTGTCATAATCGATGGTACTTGGCCGCAAGCTAAAGCTATATACACTGGAAGCCCCATTTTACACGATATCAAACAGGTCAAATTACTCATAAGTGATACTAGTAATTACATTATAAGAACGCAACCTGCCGATGGATGCCTAAGCACTTTGGAAACTGCAGCTCAAACACTGTCGATTTTAGAGAAGGATGAAATGTACAAAGAGAAACTGTTACAACCCCTGAAGATGATGTGCGACTTTCAGTTACAGAATGGTGCGGTGTCCCATCAGAGTAAAGAGTTTCGAATAAAGAACAATTCATATCCCAAGCTCATAGGCAAACGATTAAATAGGGTGTTAAAAGATGCCGAGCATATGAGAAATTCGTAACATTTGTATTTTTATTACAACGTATCTTTTGTACAGTACACAGGTTAGTTTTTTTTATCAGTAAGTTTACTTAACACTAATTGGTAATAGGAAACAATAACTGCACTATGAATGTAGTTTAATCAAATAAGTAATTATTAATTTTTGCCATAAATAAATTATTTCATAAGTTGAATGCAAAAAAATTTTTTATTTCATATTGTATCGTAAAATACAATTTTACATACTTGATTTTAGTTCAGTAAATACTTTTTTACGGTATTGAGTACCATAATGAAAAATTTTGCTGGACTAGTCCTGTAAAAATTTTTTACCGGAGTAGTCAGTAACATTTTTCTATTAGACCCAACAGTTTTTCCCAATGTATTAGAGATGGGCTAAACTACGCTTTTTGCGGAGCAGTGACACCTGCAACTGTTCCGGCCACTGAGCAGTGACAAATAGCTGCGATTTTTCGGAACAGCTTCTGGTAGCACGTGTATATATTCCTACCGCGATATGTTCCTTTATTTTCTGTGTCACAGTTCATAAATGGACACCTGTCCGCTTAATAGTGGCTAGCATGAGGGATACTTTCGTTATGTCCTGTTTTTCAAGCATGCGCAAACTATCGCAGATTTACCTCAATTTGCTATTTCACATTTAAAATTTGAATTTGATATAGCGTAGTGGTCTATTAGTTTATGTCTTAAGTTAATTACACAGGCAAAATCGGTTGGATACATTTTGCATAATAATTTTGCAATCCAGATTTTGAAAAAAAAATTGCAATTTTCAAAATTTTGTACAGCAAAAACCAAGGCCCTTGGATACTTGAAAATTTAATCACATATGGAAGGGCTCTCAAGCTTTCAAACGCTTTTTGAAAAATTCGAATCTGTCAATTAGGAGAGAGCTCTGGCGCGACATTGGTCAAATTTTTGTACTTATAAACAATTAGAATAACTGTGAATATTCAATCAAATTAAATTTTTTAAACCAGGTTTTAAAAGTTATTGATTTTTTATAATTAATTTATTAATTTAATCATCATTTCTTTTGTGATTAAGATATAATACAAATATTTATTGTTTAAAATATAAGCAAATGAGAAATGAACTCAATATATTACTAAGTTTAGAATATTTATATAAATTTGTTTTTGATCTTTGATAAACAATATACAGGCTGTCTACTATAAGAGGGCCACTCCTATGTATCTCGCTTAATGTACGACACACGTCAAAAATCTTTATATGTTTTTTGTTCCATTTTTTGAGACCTTCATGCTCATAAAAATAAATTTAAGATCCATGGCCAACTTTGTGAGTAATCATAAAAAAAGCAGAAAAGTTTCGAAAGTTTAGGGTCATCTAACTTTTTTATTTTAAGAGATAGAGAAATTTTATTTTAATAAAATTTTATGGCAAAATTGATTTCTTTCACCTGGTATAAACAGATTTTGGAACTATCGTCTGTAAGTTGCAGCGCCCTCTACGCGGGCAAAAAAAAATTTTTATCGAAGTAGGCTATGTCCACAAAATAATTGCTTGTTCTTTCCTCTTTCATGCGATATACTACATGTCGCCTTTATCTTTTATATTTATTACATTTTTTATAATTTTGATATAAAGAAATATAAAAATTTTCGTGTTGCTTATGTTAATGTAAAAATTTGTGTTAAACATAATAACTACAAAAGAATTAATAAATATAATGTACTTCTTTTAAGCGAAATACAGATTTTCTTATTACTTCATTATAGTATTGGTTTTTGCATTAGAGAGAATTAAGCCTTCAACATTGTTCTTTCACAGAGAAAGTAGCTTACGCTAAATCTCGCAAGCTGTAAAAACAAATGTGTTACTCCTTTGACCTCAGTAATGTCATACATAACTAACTCGCGCCATTATTCCATGGCTAGAAATTGGCCTCAATGATTTGGGATCGAGGGGGATTATCTCTCTTTATCCTGCCTTATCTCGTGTAGGCCTGGACAGCCTTCGTAGGTGGGCCCCATCCGTCGTCTACCCCGACCGCAAATGCGGCCGGTGTAGGCGCTTTGTGGGACCTCCTTTTGTCCTGGCTGGGACATAACTAACTGTTGGCTTGAAAACTGTTACAGTTCATTGTTATTTGAAAAACTATCATGTTGAGGTGTCATAAAATAAAAAAGTGTATGTCATTTGAGGAAGACAAAAGCTCTAATTCTACAAGTAGTTATATTTATTATTTTTTTATATTTGGCATGTTTAAAACAATTTCTACATTAACATAAGCAACACGAAAATTTTTATATTTTTTTATATCAAAATTATAAAAAATGTTATAAATATGAAAGATAAAGGCGACATGTAGTATATCGCATGAAAGAGGAAAGAACAAGCAATTATTTTGTGAACATAGCCTACTTCGCTACAATTTTTTTTTGCCCGCGTAGAGAGCGCTGCAATTTACAGACGATAGTTCCAAAATCTGTTTATACCAGGTGAAAGATATCAATTTTGCCATAAAATTTTATGAAAATAAGTTCTCTCTATCTCTTAAAATAAAAAAGTTAGATGACCTTAAACTTTCGGTACTTTTCCGGTTTTTTTATGATTACTCACAAAGTTGGCCATGGACCTCAAATTTGTTTTTATGAGCATAAAGGCCTCAAAAAATGGAACAAAAAACAAATAAAGATTTTTGATGTGCGTCGTATATTAAGTGAGATACATAGAAGTGGCCCTCTTATAGTAGACAGCCTGTATAAGTTTATGCACTTACCTTTGATACGATAAAAAAATAAAGTTGATAATTAAAGGAAGTTTAAAGATAAATAATTATCGAACTTTTGAAAGATCAATAATTATCATAATCATTTAATCAATAATATAATCATTTGAAAATACTCTAATTGTTTTTTTAAATCGCGAGACATCAATTTAAAAAAAAATCAACAAAATCGGACCTCTAGAAACTGAGAGAAAATTTTTAAGGTGGTCATATCCTTGACCGAGAAATAGTGAAATTTCTGGCATTTTTAGGTACTGAAATCTTGAAAAGTAAAACGTGTAGAACAAAAGTAAGCACAAAAATAAAATCCTTGATGTTCTGTTTATTCATTGTTACTATTTAAATTTACTCAAATAAAATTATAACTAAAAAAAAGCGTTTGTAAAACATGCGTTTGCTGTTATCCTAACTCAGCATTTTAAGAATTATTTTCACGTACTTATAAATAAAAATAAACAATTTTATATGTAGGACTAAGCAAGTAAATGTTATAAGAATATTTACATGTGGAGTTATATATAAAAAGTTAGTATTTTCGTAGATTTCAGTACCTAAAACCTTGATGGTTTGATCGTTTTTTGCACCTGTTTATTCATTTTACTGCGGCGTCTTTGAAAATACTCAGGTGGCAAGACATAACATTCCTATTATTTGGTAAGCTTTAGATTATGCGGTTACTAAATGTTTGAAATTATTTTTCTTTGCGGAAAACACTAATTAAAGAATATGGCGTCCTTGCGCGTCGCGGTTTTGAACTCGGCGATTCAATTTCGAGCAGGCCGAAGCGGCCACGCTCTCTACTTCCCCCACCACCACCACCCGTACGATTTTCTTGAATTTCTCGCTTGCATAAATAACTTTAAACACGTTTTAAAGTAAGTTGCCAATGATGAAAAGTATTGCAAACTTAGACCTGATAAGTACTCGGAATACCAAAGGTATTTTTTGAAAAATTAACCCGAATGTCCCAGTACATTTAGTGTAAATGACGGTTAACTTTGATTGGCTATAACTACGTCCCAATTGACCAATCGATCGTTTTTTTTTTAAAAAGCGTCTTTCCAAGAACTTTTAAAACCTATTTTAAAAAATTTGATTTGGTTGAATATTCAAAAAGTTATTCTAATTGTTTATAAGTACAAAAATTCGACCAATGTTTAAACAAGCGCCAGAGCTCGCCTAATTGACGGATTACAATTTTTCAAAAAGCGTTTGAAAGCTTGGGAGCCCTTCTATATGTGATTAAATTTTCAAGTATCTAAAGGCCTTGGTTTTGCTGTGCAAAAATTTTGAAAATTTGGATTGCAAAATTATTATGCAAAAAGTTAAGTCCACATTTTTTTTATGCGCATGGAAAAATGTTCATTTCTAGTGATATTTGAAAGCCAAAAGGCCAAAAATTCTCCGTGGATATACGATACACCCAAATAAGTACTTTTTGAAACAGATAACGTCTGGACTAACCAAAAAATCTTTCGTATGGAATTTCTTTCTACCAACGAATGAAAATAAAGCTTGTTGTTATATGTGCAAGTAAAATATTAGTTGTAAGACTTCAACCACCAATTTAAAAATATACATAAAACGCCAACATCCAACAGTGAGTACAGTGCCATATATTCAAAATTTTTTCGCGAGTGCAACAAAGACAAATGAAAAACAGTCCCATGTTGTTACGGCAAATACCTCGTCTTCAGCAATTCTTCCTGTTACCTCTCAATGAGATATAGTTTCTAACCATTACTGACCCTTAAACAAAGTAAATTACCTTATGGTCCAAAATTAATTGGTATTCATGCTAAAACAAAAATTGACAATAATTTAATGAGACCACACACAATTATCAACCATTCAGTATTGTCGAAGATGTAGGATTCCGGAACTTTGTGAATAATTTAAATCCCTATTCACTACCGAGTAGAAAACTAATTATTAATTCTCTTGCCTTGTTTGTATGAGGAAACATATTGCTAAACTCAAAACATTGTAAAGAACACCCATTTGGTAACAGTAACTACGGATTGTTGGACGTCAATTAATGCAGAAAGTTTTATGACGGTTACAATTCACATTATAACAGAAAATTTTTGGAATTAAGTCAGTGTTATTAGAATGTGTTTCATTTAAAGGCTCACATACCAGTGCAAACTTAGCAGCAGAATTAAATAGAATTATTGTTATATGGGGTCTAGAAAACAAAATTTTATTAGCTATTTCCAACAATGCGGCTAACATTCAAAAAGCTATAAAAGATGATTTAAATTGGAAACATTTTGACTGTTATGTGCACACGTTGAATCTAATAGTACAGGATGGGTTAAAAACAAGTCAACCTCCTTATCATAAAATTGAGGAATTTCATTTTAAACGCAGCACCACTGTTTGCGTTTCTCTCTTAATTTATTTTTTATTTAAATCACCGCGCGTTCCGCGATTTAATTTCATGTTGTCCTTGTCCTCTAACCGAGGGTGGGGAAAAAGACTCGATGAGGGGGAGAAGAGTCTACATTCAATTTTAAAAAGTGTGTGTATGTGAAAGAGCTTTGACCAAGACAGTACGCAACTATACACAACTGAGATCTCAAATTTGGACTAATGGTACATATAAGTGATACACAAAATTGATGCAAGGGTGCTAGTTCCTGCTGCAAGCGAGTGAGCCAACGTAGTGAAACCCTCAAAGGTAAGGGCAACAAAGTCGCCGCAAAACTCTTAGTACATTTTTTTCAAACATCTTTTCCCTAGCATATTCAACCACTGCATTGGTACGATTATTTGACACACAAAAACAGAAAAATTAATTTAAGATGTCATTACAAGGTGGAATTCTACTTTTTATATGATAGATAGAGTTTTAGAACTAGAAGCGGTACGTATGACTATGGCTCTACTTGACAATAGTAGTTTACCAATTATCACCGTTGAAGAATGGAAGCTGCTCAAAGATATTAAAAAGGTCTTTGAACATCTGTGACAAAAATAATAAGTGGGCAAAATTATGTAAACCTTTCATTTGTCATTATTTTAACAAAAGGTCTGGAGAGGGTTTATACGGAAATCCGAAGATGTAATATGCCTCCTTTGGCTCAAAATCTCGCTTCAGAATTTTCGAGAGGGATTCAAAAACAGTTAGGCGATTTGGAAAAAAGTAAAACTCTGCTGGTCATTTTTGGGTCCTCGCTTTAAAAATGTCAAATTTTCTAACAAGTTCTCTACTTGTTTCGAAATTCCAGACTCGGCTAATCGCCTCGTCCGAAAACATCTTACTCGTACTGTAAAAATGTATTTACCACATAATGTAAATTACTACATATTGCCGACTTCGAAAACTAATTTCTGTTGGATTTCTGTTGTTGTTTTTTTTTGATAAATAAAGTGTGTCTTCAAATAGGTGAAATGTCTTTAAAAAAAACAAAAAATGTTGTTGAAAATAACAGTGGTATTCACCTCTGTTTGTGTAACATATTTGAATAAGCCTTACGGAAATTTAGAAAAACCTGATTTTATGCACCTGTAAAGTACCATTTCTGTAATGACAAAATTTTATGAAAAGTTCTGTAAAATGATAAACTGGATAAGTACAAAATTTGAATGTCTTTCGTCCTATTTCAACTTTTTGCTTAATTTCCAAGTTTTTTTGCTAAAGATGTGCTCCTTTATATGAGATAACATAAAATATTATTAAGAAAAATTTCTCAAAAAATTATTATACATACTATGACATGCCAACTTCCAGAATAATAAAATAAATAATAAATAGATATCAAAATATATCTACGATATTAAAATGTTGCACACGTTCATAGTTTCTAGTTTTTAATATTTTGTGGTATCCCATGCAGAAAGACCAATTTCCTAGTGAAAAGGCAAATGGATTTGAAATTGTGGCAAATTTTCTCAAATTAGGAGGGCTAAAATCCAGAAGGCCATTTTTCAATGCCATTTTTTTTTTTTTTTCTTAAAAAAATCAATTTACTTATCTGGGAACAGGACCTTTTTTACTAGTCCTAACTTCACTCTTAATTAATAATGAATTAACTACACATTAATAGGTACTTATAAATTATATTTATTCCATAGTAAGTAAATATTTTTTTTTTAATTGTAACAGAATTTTTTATACATAAGTACATTTGAATTTCCCACTGTAAGAAAACAAATAAAAGGTGGATTTATCATTGTTGCAGAAATTACATTAATAAACGGAAATTTATACCAGCCATGTATTATTTAATTTTGATTTCAGTAAATCATCCATTGAACCGATCCATTTAGAATAGTTGATTGTTACATACATCAAGAGTATAATCTAGAACCCAAATGATTTCGATTTAACCAAAGGAAAAATGTCGCAAAAAAAGTTACAGGATGTATAAAATTTCTTTTTTTATTTCTTGTATTCTGCTTAACTCAGATCCCAGTTAAACGATTTGAGCAAAATTTGCTGTTGCTTAGTTTATCTTCATGAAGTAAGCAGTGATTATGTTATGTTCCTATTAGGTTAAATCATACAGGGCGTTCATTTTACTACAACCCTCTGTAACCTTTTCTTGTATATTTAAATATTTACACACAACTATCAGAAATAGGTAAAGAATCTTATTCTACACAAAAAATGTATACTTATCAAAAGTCAAAATTATTCTCGGGTGTGAAGATATTACAGAAAATATTTATACATACACATACCCCATATTTTTTGGAAATAACTATCCATAACATGACAATTTCCATAGGTTACTATCTAGCTTGTATTTTGCAAAAGTTTGTTTCTGAAAATGCCTCATCATAATGAATTTACGAATTATGAAATGAGAGACATGATAGTGGTACATGTACGGGGACATTTAGTGGACGCGCTGCTAGGAGAACATATGAAAAATTTTATCCGAATTGCAGACAGCCTTCTCACTCAGCCTTCTCATACGTTGTTTGGTTTTTTACTCACCAGATTAGGAGTGAACTGGAAACTTTCGGTCTAATTTACGAAATGGAAGATACATTCAAAAAAGGGTACAAGACGAAGAACAAATTCTAGAAAGAGTAGAAGAAAATTCCGAAATTAGTATTCGTCATTTGTCAGCAGTCACAGTAGTTGTCTGCAAAACCGTTTCAACTATACTCCACACGCAGCAGTTACAATGTTTCCATTTTCACTCTGTACAAAATTTGTTTGAACCAGACCGCCCCCTGAGATTTATATTTTGCGAACGATTTCTTCAACTTGAGAAAATTGCCTTTACAGATGAAGCTGTTTTTGCCCATAAAGGTGTTTTTAATTGGAAAAACTCACGTGTGGAGCGAAGAAAATCCACACGCAATAAAGAGCATCACTTCCAACACGAATTTTCAGTTGTCTGGTGCGGGATTACAGGAAATTTACTACCTACAAGGTTGAACGGCCAAATTTATTTGACAATCCTGTGGCAAGAACTTCCTAGGGCTCTTGAGGCAGTATCCATTAATAATAGACGACAAATGTGGTTCGTGCACGATGATGCCCCTGTTCATTACAGCCATTTGGTGGGAGATCATTCCAAACCGTTGGATTGATCGAGGTAGTGACTTTCTTGGCCTTCTCCGGATTTTAATCCGTTAGACTTTTGGGGTCATTTGAAAGGAATAATTGTTTACAAATCTGTAACACCTAATACGGAGAAGAACTTTGGTATAAAATAAAAGATGCCGTACAACAGGTTAGATGAACATATAATTATTCGTTTCCTATTCTCAATAGTTTCATAAAACGTTTAAGGAAATGTCTAGAGCAAGGGTCGGCAAATGGCAGACTGCGGTCCAGGTCCGGACCGCGGAAGGTAACATACTGGACCGCCAAAAATTTTTTGAAAGCATAAATTACTCAAATAAATTATTTAAAAAATGCTTTTTACGTTTGAGTGCCAACCTTATCATTTTTTCTAGTATTTTACAATTGTGTGAGTGTTTTGAGTTCTTAATGGTTAGTAAGCTGATTAAATTTGAGTCCAAATGAAAATTTGTAAGAAATATAAATTTTTTTCTGGACCTCGTTAAAAATTTTTAAAAGTATCCGGACCCCACCTAAAATTACTTGCCGACCCCTGGTCTAGAGAATGGGGGACACGTAGAACATTTATTATAAATTAGTAGAGTTTTTATTACTGCCACCTTTCAGTTTATTATCTTATTTATTATGTTTATTATAGATACGTAGTTATTTCCACAACTGAGCATAATTTCGACTTTTGGTAGGTATAAATTTTTTGTGTAGAATAAAATTCTCTACCTATTTCTGGTAGTTGCGTGTAAAAATTTAAACATACAAAAAAGTTACAGAAGAATATTCACAAAGGATTGTAGTAAAATGAACACCCTGTATGATTTAACCTTATAGGAACATAATCACTGCATACTTCATGTCGAGAAACTAAGCAACAGCAAATTTTGCTCAAATCGGTTAACTGGATGCTGAGGTAAGGAGAAAACAAGAAATAAAAAAGAAACACCCTGTAACTTGTTTTGCGACATTTTTCGTTTAAGCAAGTTTGGTTAAATCGACACCGTTTGGGTTCTAGATGTATATAATATTCGTTAGGTGACACCCTGTATATTCCTTTATTAAAGGTGATTAAAATGGGACACCCTGTATAAAACATTTCAGTTACACTGATTTCCTCAGAATGTATATGTTTTATTTTTGTACTTTATAAAAGTTTTTGAAAATATTCATAAAAAACATATACGAAACAAGTCATAACATAAATTTTACATCAACATAATGCAATTTAATTTTATAATTTTTTTTTTTTTTGAAGCGTTATGAAGAATACGCTACTAACCAGTAAACCAAGTTCATGATGAAAAATTTAGAGAAAATACACACGGTACATTATACACTAAATTAGGTTCAACTCTCTGAATAAGTAAACAATATCTATTTTGAACAAGCAAAATTGAAAGTTTCAATGGTTTGAATAAAATACTAGACGTGCATATTGGAAACTTGTGTTATTATTGTTAAAATTATTAAAAAACAACATACAAATATACAAAATGAAGAATTCTTAACACTTATACACCGTTCTTGAAATAATACTACTTCCATTTTTCTTGAACACGTTTTAAATGTTCATGTGCCCTCCTGCTAACATTCAACTCACAAAACATTTTATTCAATCCACCAAAATTCATCAAACTCAGTCCTGCCAGACCGAAATATGTGTGCATAGGATCTGGTACAGTATTAACCCATTTGGAGAAACCTCCATATTTATCCTGAGTCATTAGAACATACAGTGGGTTGTTTTTATTGTCATGTATAAACTGATATGCGTCTAGAATTTTTAGTGCTCCGCCGGTCCAGAAAGAATAGCACGTGTCTACGGGTTTGTTAGGCCTTCCGTTGAATCCATAATCGAATCGTAGCAGAAGCCACCTTCGTAAAGCATGGAATTGTGCTTTTGTAAGTCTGTGCAGGTTTTTACTAAGAGCGAGGCATGCTATGGCGCAGAATGTTGAGCCGCAGTGGGACTCCAATTCGGGGCCCTGCCCTATACCCCCATCATATGACTAAAAAGCAAATATTTATAATAATCAAGGATGAATAAGAGTAATAATAATGAAATAAAAAGGTATTTAAATTACTGATTTTATTACGACACAATCTGAACTAGTTGCTGCTGCTTGTGTTCCATGGGGGTCTAATTTTGGACCCCTGTTATTATCTATGTTTATTAATGACATAAGCTGCGCCTTGCTGATGATTTGAAAATTTTTTAAACTAACAATGCTTTGACAGTCTCAAAATTTAATTGAGGAATTAAATACAGGGTGTAATTTTGACTGCAGGTCATACTCATACAGGGGCTTAATTTGATCTTTAGAAACACATATCAATAGTTTATTTTTTCAAATTCTATTGTAAAAACTATTTTTTTAACCTTTTTTTTTTAGTAATTTTCGTACCCCGCTGCTAGACAAGCTAATGTGACCTAAATCAACGGCGTGCTTTAGTCGTAGTGCATGCACAATTCCACACCATTCGCCACAAGTTACTTTTGTTAAGTGGATGTTCGCCATACAAACAGTACCTAACAAGTAACCTAGCAAAAACTCAAGCAGTAATAAATAATGACAAATGAAATACACAAAAATAAATATTCTGTTGATGGCTTCCAGCGATGAAAATCATTTAAATTCACAGTTAGATGTACCGTCTCCAAATGTGGAACAACTGACCCCCTTTGTCACCATTGACCCGTACTATCTCCCTTCACATACACTGTAGATTGCCTACAATTCATGTATTTGTAATACATGATTACAGTGGCAGCGTATACAAGTATTAAAGTGCATTTTAAAAATCTAATTAGAACTCGACTATTTATTTGATTAAAAAAAAATTATTTTAGATTCGTATTCAGGGGAACACGTACTATTACCCTTAAAAAAACTGACCTCCACTTACACTTACACCCTGTATAGCCACATGTAAAACATTTAATTAATATTGAATGAACAAACCAATTTAATTGAATGTTTAAACAATAATTCTTCCAAAAGGTGCTCAAAAAAGGATTTGGAAATGTTAAGAGATTATCAATTAAGCATTCTAAACATGCAAGATATTTTAGCTAAAAAAATAATGTAATTATAGCCTTTTTAAGTTTTTTACGATGTATGTTGTATATTGAAATGTAAAATTTTATTTTACACAAGAAAGATACTCTTGTGGAAATCGCACCATTTCTTAGAAAAATTTATCAAAAATGCCAAGTCATCCAGCTTCTCTGTCTGTCTGGAAATGAATGAAATATACTTTATAGGCCAATCAATAGAGCATTAAATGTGTGATTTTGTGACAAAAATACTAGTAGCAAACGGACTGTGCCATCATATAAAAGACAGTCTGTAGATATATGCTTATAAAGGATGAGTCATTAATAATGGTACTCAGCTTACTGGCAGATTGTTAACGTCAAAATATAGCGATTGAGCCAAACATGCTAAGGCATATTTGGCTCAATCACTCCTTTTCGTTCTACAGAATGTTAAAGTTGAAAAAATATTTTTTATTTTTTGCTATATTTTATGTATGCATGGACCAATTGTTTTGAAAATTTGTAGCTTTACGTTCCTTAAAAAGGTATACTTGTTACAAATTGATAAACTCAACCGTTCTCGAGATACGGACATTTTAATTTTTTTAAATTTGGCGGGAATTAAATTAAAAAAATATTTTTTCCAGAGAAGTAAGAGAATAACGTAATAGAAACTTTCCGCACCGTTGGATTGAACGCGGTAGAGAAGAACCTTGGCCTGCATGTAGCTCTGATTTAAATCTGCTGGATTTTTCTTTTGGTGCTATCTTTAAAAAGACATTATTAATAGTTAAGAACAACTGTGGACAAATATTCAAGAATCAGTTAATATTATCAAACAACATAGAACTTTATTTAATATTAGACAAAATTTAAATAAGTGCATTGAAGTCGGTGGTGGTTGCTTTGAGAATCTTTTATGATTGTTAAGATATGCATAATAAAATTTTCAGTTGCTGTAATAATTGTCTTAATTCTTAATTCAGGTTTGGTATCTTATGACCTGCTAATTTTCTACCTTAAAAAACGTAAAGCTACAAATTTTCAAAGCCATCGGTCCATACATACATAAAATATAGCAAAAAATCAAAAATATTTTTTCAACTTTAACACCCTGTAGAACGAAAAGGAGCAACAATTTATTAAGGCATGTTTAGCTCAATTACTATATTTTGACGTTAACAATCTGCCATTAAGCTGTGTACCATTATTAATGACTCACCCTGTATGCTATACAATTTTATATATTGTTAGTTACAGTATAGTTTAGTACACATTTCTTGTTCTGTTCCTGCATTTTTTGACATTTACGCGAAATCTTGACATTAAACTAAATACAGGGTGTCCGGTAAGTACCTCCTAATCTCTCGGGAGTGTATAGGGGAGGTCAAAATAAAACTAGTCCTTCCTATATTTTTTTTCCTAATGTGCCCCCTATGGGGGGTCAAAGGGGTACCTAGAAATTAACGTTTAGGGTTATAACTTTGAAACCACCCTGTATATTTTAATAAAATTTTCGTACGTTGTATTACACATGGAGCTCTACGATTTGATGCTAAAATCAACTTTTTGCTATTATCAGGTGTCCAGAAACGGACTGGCCCTATCACAATTTTTCTCAAAATTTTGACAGAAGTAATTTTATCAAACTGAAAATATTATTATTAGATACTCTGAAGGTTTTTCTTTAAAAATGGTACTCTTTATTTATTTCGAAAAAATGAACGGTTTGCGAGATAAATCGGTTTTGAAAAAAATTGGTAACAAATACAACAACAATTAAAATTTATTTTTTTACAATAAAATCATTCCCGCTAGTGCCAGCCTACAGATTCACCATAAACATTTACTGGTGGTGAATTAAGGGAATGAATAATGCCGTTTCTTGTAAAATCAACATCTATGACCAAAATACATCTACAAATTATTATTGCTCTTGTCTCCATGGAGTTCTTTTCTATTGTTTTCGTTGTTAGACCCTGTTGATTTTAAAGTACTTGTCAAAGGCGCGTGACAGAATAAAAATTCAATTTTATTGTGGTATTCGTTTTAAGCCGTTAGAAATAACATTTAAAAATGGAAGAATATTCCTGTGCAGAATATGCTGATATGCACCTAATTTATGGGGAAGCATTATGCAACTCCGTGGAGGCAAGAAGACTTTATGAGGAAAGGTTTCCGGGTCGACATTTGCCGAGTCCAAAAACTTTTGAAAGAGTTGATCGTAGTTTAAGAGAAACAGGTAAAAAAAAATAGTGAAAAACGTTAGTGAAACTAATTTCTTCCGAATCCTTTATTTAGGAAGCTTTTTGCCACGCCGTGGTGGAGCAGGAGCCCCGAGGAGAGTACGAGACCCTCATGTAGAGGAACAAATATTGGAAGACGTTGCTAATAATCCTTCAAATAGCATAAGGAAGCTTGCGGCGCAAAACAATGTTACAAAATGGGCTGTACATGAAACTCTGAAAGAACAATTGCTTTACCCGTACCACATCCAAAAAGTACATGCTATGTCTCCAGATGATTATCCAAAAAGACTTCAATACGCCAATTGGTTTTTACAGCATCATATTCGGAATCATAATTTTGGTACATCTATTTTGTTCACCGATGAAGCAGGTTTTACAAGAGACGGCATAATTAATTCGCATAATCTACATGTCTGGGATGAAGAAAACCCTCACGCTTTAGTTCAAACTCGCTACCAACAAAGGTTTATGGTGAATGTGTGGGCTGGCATTATCGGGAATCATTTGATTGGTCCATTTATTCTGGAGCAAAGACTTAATGGTGCTCTTTATTTGCAATTTTTAGAGGAAAATCTAAATATTTTGTTAGAAGAAGTGCCCCTTCAAATAAGAACTGAAATGTGGTACATGCATGACGGTGCACCACCCCACTTTGATCGTTTAGTACGTCAACATCTGACGAATGTTTTTGGTGATCGATGGATAGGTCGAGGCGGACCTGTATTATGGCCACCTAGGTCGCCCGACCTAAACCCATTAGACTTTTTTCTGTGGGGTCATTTAAAAAATAACGTTTATTCAACACCCGTAAATAGTAGAGAGGAACTTCTGCTGAGGCTAACACAGAACTGTGACCATCTCCGCAATAATCACGGAATATTATTTCAAGTGCACCGGGAAAACATTCGTAGGATTAGAAAGTGCATTGAAGTACGGGGTGCTCATTTTGAACATCTACCGAAGTAACATTTAGGTACCTTTGTTCATTGTTGAATGTTCTTTGTTGCATGTCTTGTAAGTAAGTTATTTTTCAAATGTTATTTTTAATTGGTCACTACTTGCTCATAAAGTATAGCCAACCCGTTCAAAGATTTCTGGACTTGATAAAGTTAAAGAAATTAAATGCATGAAATAATATGTAAAAAAAATAAATTTTAATTGTTGTTTTTGTTACCAATTTTTTTCAAAACCGATTTATCTCGCAAACCGTTCATTTTTTCGAAATAAATAAAGAGTACCATTTTTAAAGAAAAACCTTCAGAGTATCTAATAATAATATTTTCAGTTTGATAAAATTACTTCTGTCAAAATTTTGAGAAAAATTGTGATAGGGCCAGTCCGTTTCTGGACACCTGATAATAGCAAAAAGTTGATTTTAGCATCAAATCGTAGAGCTCCATGTGTAATACAACGTACGAAAATTTTATTAAAATATACAGGGTGGTTTCAAAGTTATAACCCTAAACGTTAATTTCTAGGTACCCCTTTGACCCCCCATAACTCCATTAGGGGCACATTAGGAAAAAAATTATAGGAAGGACTAGTTTTATTTTGACCTCTCCTATACACTCCCGAGAGATTAGGAGGTACTTACCGGACACCCTGTATACGTGAATTTGAAAGCTTCCTTACAAAATGTACTTATCTGTTCCAAAGAATACATATTTAGGTGTCCTTGTATACCGCTAAGGAAATTTCATTACATTTTGTAAGTTGTTTGAACAAATTTACAATAAAAAATTGTTTTTCTCGAAAATGTTTGCGACATTCCTCGTTTTATTCCTGTACCCTTCATAATAATATTCAAACGAAATATTTTGCAATAATATTTACCTATTGGCAGATGTAGATGCTTCTGCTATATTGGAGTAATCACACTGGTATTATTTACTATGTGTCACCACTTACAATAATATTAAACTATACTATAACAATATTCAAAATTATATACGTGGTGTGCCATTTAACACTCCCGTTGCCAATATCTCCGAAATAAAGAAATTTATTTTAGTTCCGGAAATAGGGGTATTTCTGTATAGATGGCGTGGCGATACTAAAAAATTTGTTGATCCCTGGAATGTGGATATATAGTGCATCTGAAAGATCGTTCAATTTTGAGTAATTTTTGTAATATAATGTTTTTCCCTATATTTACTTGTTTTCGAGATATGTTGATTTCAATATGCAATGTATGGAAAATCTATTATTTTATTTAAACCACACTGAGACAAAATATTCTTCTAAAATAATGTTAATATTGTTATAATGGCTTTATTCACATCACATACTAGCTAACAAACAATGAATTATAAAAAAAAACTAATGATCAACTACAGTAAAAAAAATTATACAGTGGTAAATCTTATAAGGGGCAAAGACGAACCGTATTTTATCAAAAATTATTAAAAAATGCAGTCATAAGTGGCTCATGTCATTTGTTTAAAATAAACATGTATCACAGATGACACATATTAGTTTTCCAATAATTAGTTTTATCATCTTGTCTTTCAATTTAACTCTACTAGTTAAGATTTACCATTGTACAATTTTTTTTCTGTAGTTGAGCATTTGTTTTTTTTTTTATAATTTATTGATTGTTAGTTAGTACGTGGTGTGATTAAAATCTTTATAACAATATTTTAAAAGAATATTTTGTTTCGGTGTGGTTTAGATAAAATAATAGATTTTCCTGTTACATCATACCTTGCATATTGAAGTCGACATGTCTTGAAAACAAGTAAATATTGGGAAAAACTATATTACAAAAATTACTAAAAATTTAACGATTTTACAGATGGAGTACATTTCCACGTTCCAGGGTACAAAAAATTTTTTAGTATCGCCACGCCATATACAGGGTGGTCCACAACCAATGGTACATAGTGCAACGGCGAATTCCTGACATCAAAATATTACGATCTAACCAAATTGTCCTATTCCGAAAGTTGATATTAAGAAAGATACAGGGTGTCAAAGTTGAAATTTTATTATCGACTTTTCCCAACTGCTCCTAAACAAAAAGACACTACGCCACAAAAATTGGTATCGGAAGGTTTTTTTATATGAGAAATCTAAATTTTTCACTAATTTTGATCCCACTGATAGAGGGCGCCATCTACAGCATATTGAGCACATTTAAAATAGCAGAACTTTTTTTCGCTCGGTATATCAATTTGACTATTACGGAAATCGATTCTCCTAAATTTTGTACACAAAAAAGTTATACTTCTTTGATATCGCTAGAGGTAACCGTTACCGAGATAATCGCATTTGAATTTGCCAATGCAACCTTATCCGTGTGGTTCATGAATGCCTAGTAGTACCCATTTAACTATTTAACTTATTCAGTAATCTGATTTTAATTCAGTAAAAATTTTTATTGGTGATTAATGAAGAATAAAAGCTAGAAGCACATATTAAATTAGACAAATAAAACACCAAGTTGAACATATTTATTTAAATAAAAATAAAATTAGACAAATATGCAAAAATGTCCCTAGAAATAATAAAGAATAACATTAATATTATTAATGATTGAAAAAGATATTTAAAAGATTAATAAAAAAAAAGATCGCCTTTCCTTAACAAATGTTCGAAGTGATGTCCATTTACCTCGATGCATTTGGTAACACGTTTGTTCATTGATCGTTTGATTTTAAAATATAAATTGTCATTTCGAAAAGATTCCGAAGCATTTCTGATTCGCTGTCATAATTTTTCACGAGTATGCACTGTATCTTGGTATACCAGCGATTTTAAGTAACCCCACACGCAAAAATCGAGGGGGTTAAAATCTGGGCTCCTCGCTGGCCAAAGTGTTTGGCTTCCACGACCAATCCAACAATCAGGAAATTGATGGTTTAAGTAATTTCTAACATGTACTGAAAAATGTGCTGGAGCTCCATCCTGCATGAAGTACATATTTTGTCGTACATTCAGTGGCAAATCATCCAAGAAATGCACAAAATCAGTTCGTAGAAAATTTAAATACGATTCACCATTTAAATTTGGCGGTAACTCATATGGTCCCAAAAAATAATTATCGATTATTCCACACCAAACATTTATTTTAAATTCATGTTGAAAGTGTCGTTCGGTTATTAAATGTGGATTTTCTATGTCCCACATGTTTATTTCTAAAAATAAATACTCCGCGACGAGTAAATGTCGCTTCGTCTGTGAACAGAATCTTACTTACAAACGTAGGATCGACATTTTGCTTGGTTTGAAAGAAACGTGCAAACTCTAGCCGGGCTGGAAAATCGGGATCAAGAAGATTCTGGACAGGAGTAAAATGATAAGGGTACAACTTTTCTTTCTTGAAAATTCATAAAACCGATGACTTGCTCACTCCCACCAAGAGAGCCGTATGTTTTGAACTTATTTCTCCATTTTCTGCAACACGGACCAAAATTTCCTCTTCCTGCTCTGGAGCAATAGTTCTGTGATGACCTGCAATATCACGTTTAGGTCGAAATGAGCCAGTTTCTCCTAATCTGTTGTAAATATTCTTAAATATTTTGAAATCTGGCTGCCTTCTGTTCGGATACATCGCCAAATATCGGCGATGAGCCCTACGTCCATTAAAATTTTCCTGCGCGTATACGCATACCATATCTCTCATTTCAATATTAGAGAAAAAGTAATGTCTGGGCATTTTTCCCTTAAAAATTAAAAAAAAAATTAGAAAACTTTCAGAATGTTGCACACAACGCGTTGCAATGTTTGACAGAAGCTAAATTTAAAAGCGTTATTCATTACTTTAATTTTAATCATAGCCTACTTTCAAAAAATTAATATATTTCCATTAGAACGTGCACATGCTTAAGTAATTGCATTGGCACATTCAAATGCGATTATCTCGGTAACAGTTACCTCTAGCGATATGAAAGAAGTATAACTTTTTTGTGTACAAAATTTAGGAGAATCGATTTCCGTAATAGTCAAATTGATATACCGAGCGAAACAAAAGTTCTGCTATTTTAAATGTGCTCAGTATGCTGTAGATGGCTCAAAATTAGTGAGAAATTTAGATTTCTCGTATTAAAAAGCCTTCCGATACCAATTTTTGTGGCGTTGCGTCGTTTTGTTTAGGAGCAGTTGGGAAAAGTAGATAAAATTTCAACTTTAACACCCTGTATCTTTCTTAATATCAACTTTCGGAATAGGACAATTTGGTTAGATTGTAATATTTTGATGTCAGGAATTCGCCGTTGCACTATGTACCATTAGTCGTGGACCACCCTGTATACAGAAACCAACCTCAGTTTCCGAAACTAAAATAAATTTCTTCATTTCGGAGATATTGTCAGCGGGAGTGTTAAATGGTACACCCTGTATATCCACTACTCCTCATCTCCCGATCTTCCTCCACTACTCGAACGCGTACGCGCACTCGGCCGTTTTTGAGCATATTTGGAGGAATTTTTCACCTATTTCGCATCATTTTATCAGAAATTTAGAATAAACGTTTTGTAATATTATACTTCTACTTTTAAAATCCGGCTGAAAAATTAAAATTGGACCATCCTCAAATGCATCCAGAAATTTTTCAAAATAGTCCAAAAAATTTAAATTGTGATTGTGCTAATACTAATGGTACGACAGCACCTGCTTTGTGCACACAAAGTACATATAATTCATTACTTTTGTGCATAGGGTCAACTCTACATGTTAAAAAATGGCAGAGTAATGAATTTAAAAAAAAAAAATGCTAAATTTCCCGGTTTTTCCGGGTTTTCTTCGTATCTAATTATTGGATCGGATCTATTGCCCTTTCGTTTTATTCGTATTTCGATTATCTACAAATTGTCTTTTTATAGCATTCAGATTGCGTCGGTAATTTAGGTTTTATAAGCAAAAAACTAAAAAGTGTTTTTTGCATAAAAATGTTTATAAAAAATTTATTAATTTATAATTAACTGGAGTAGGAAACTATAAGTATATATCTATAGACTGTCTTTTATATGATGGCACAGTCCGTTTGCTACTAGTATTTTTGTCACAAACAAAATCTGTATTGATTGGCCTATTTAAAAGTGGTCCCCTCGGTTGAAAATAAACCAATTTAAATTAAGTTACCTTAATTAAAGTGGAAACAAAAAAATTTTTTGATTGCCGATAACTTCAAAGAAGCAAAATTGTACAAAGATAATTTGAGTTAACCATTTTAGTTCCATCCAATGAAGCTATCTTTGCAGTCCCATTTGTTTCCAGACAACTAATTAAAAATAAATAAGACTTTTCATATGAACATTTGCTCCCTTTTTCCGATACAGGATGATCAAGTTTTTATTTTCCCTACTACTGAAAATTGCAAGTTTTGTCTTATAAATGGGTTTTTGTGTATTGCGAATATAAACTCGATTTGAAAAGGGAAATACAATTAAAGAAATCAATGATACATTAGAAAATGAACAAGGAATACTTACTATACTTTTTAAAATAAAATTGACCATTAATTCCACATCAATTGCACTCCAATCATCTAATATATAACAAATACATGCAGCACAAAACACAAACCGCATGTCGTCCTCTACCCCATCTTTTGCCCCTTTAAATGACCCGTTTGGCAGTTGTAGCGCCCTTAGACCTAGAAGTGCAATATTCTATTTATTGTCTGCCTCATTCAATTTTGATTACAAAAAAAAACTTCTAATTACTTACTGTTGAGTATTGCTTTTCTATTGACTCTACTTAGATTGTCGCCTAAAATAATTAAGGAGTTAAGACATGAATAAGTATTCGCGATGTGTGCCCATTTATAAGGGGAATTTTTTCCCTGGTTTTCTTTGGTAATTAATGTTGTAGATCCCTGGAAACCGCTAACTAATTCTAAAAGAATGTGTACATTAGTTTGGATAACACTGCAATTGTTCACATACTACCTTTTTCATTAACTACTTGTAGCGAGTAAATCCAATCAATAATATACTGTTTCCTTTGTTCGGTTAAACTGTCCAGTTGATTAAGTAAATCAAGGCCCGATAATGCAAAGTACATTAAAACTGATCTAAAAGTAAATTAATTTGTATTTTACAGTTATTGCAAGAAAATTTTAAAGCATTTCTATATCTGATTATTAAAATGCTAAATTGTGTGGCTTTTATATTCTAAGATAGTTATGTACTTTAATTATAGGTACATTAAAATGAACATGAAATGTTAATAATAGTTTTTAAACATAACTGCAAAGTTTAGATAAGAACTTTTGCTACCTGTTGGTTTCCATAGAGCTTATATTTGGTAATTTGCCATTCAATACAAATAATAAATACTTTTTATGAAGATCTGGAGTAAATTCCAATGTATGTTTAACTTCCATACTTATTTATTATCTAAAACATGAAAATTTCTACATTAATTAATAGAAGCAAATATTTTGAGCCACACCTCCTTTGCCGAATTACGAATCAAACTTTAAATCCAGTTTTTAATTGATTCTAAAAAAGTAGATCATGAATTTCTGAGAAAATTTCACATTAATTTTTCAGAACCGATGTAAAATACTCAGTATATATAAATGAAAAATAAGGGCTCAAAACATAGTTAAAAAAATTAATTTTAAATGCGAAAATTTGACAGACGTCATCGTCATCCGTCATTACCACTGGCCCATTGACGACCATAAAAGATTTTTCATTTATCTTTCTTTTATCTTCATCGTTCATGGGTCAATTCATGGAGACTACCACAGATCAAGAAAAGACATAGATACATAATTTATACCTATGTGGCTTGAAGCCAAAATAGTTCATCGGAAGGGTGAGGAAGTTGTGTTTACATTCCCTCATGGGCAGTGGCGTATCATTTTATAGGGGCTGATTGCAACTAAAATAACAAGTTTAATAATTATAATTGTAAATTTTATTTTCCGCAGATAAACTAGGGAAAATATGGTGTAATAGGTATGTTAAGAAAGCGTGTTTTATTTCTTAAGGTATCTATGAGATTATTTAACTTTTCTTCAACCTATTTTATTACTTATGAACTTCACAGTCCCCTACATTTACTTCTTCCTGGAATACGGTTGAGATGATCTACTGACACAATTTTACTCTCATTTATATACAAAAGGAATGATACATTTCATCATACTCTTAAGCTGTTAATTAATATGATTTTCACGAGATTTTAACAAAACAAAGTATTTAAATTCCATTTGGGTAGGTATATCCTAGTTTTAATTTTAATAGCTTATGACACGGTGTAAAATTTGGTATCAACTCTTACATAGAATTTATAAAATTTGTATATAGGAAACTAAAAGATTGACCATATTTTAAAATTATAATTCATTTTTATAGAGTCGGTCCATTAACCCTACCTATCACAAACACATATGTGTGAATTTATATAAAAAACTAAAAATTAGAACAGGTTTAAATATATATTTTATATAGAATTACATGTAGATTTTTACATTGCGTGTTACGGCTATATTACTGGAGTTAAAGTTTGTCCCTAATAAAGCTGTCAATTGGTTTATTTTTTAGGTTGTCTCTATCGAATGAATGTTATGAATGAAAAAAGACAACCATATTACTCAAATAGAAATTTATTGATTATGAAATAAAATATTTTTTGTTAACTTATGCTTTATCCTAAGAATATTATCCTGCATTTTATTACAAAAGTGGTCAGAGCATATATAGGTATATACAGATATTGTTTCTGTATATGGAATTCCTAAGCTTCTAAACCACTGTCTTCTAATTAGAAGATTTTTCGGAAATCTGTAACATATAAAAAAATCTATTAAATGTTTTACGCCTTGGTTTATCTGATTTACTAATGCTTTTTGGCACTTAAATTTTGTCAAAGCGAAATATTTAAATTTAACCCCAACAGCTTGTTTTATTGCTACGTCTATGATTATTGTTACTTATGGAACGATCGTTGATTTTGTTTCATTTGGTACATATTGCAAATATAGCACTTCTTCGGCATTGTTCAACACTTTTTTCACTGGAAAAAATCTTACTAACAAGCACGAAATCATTAAAAACGCAAAAACATTAGATTACACTACGAAACACAACAATGGCGAACTCGAATTTTCTGGAAAATGTCAAAATTTGAGCGTAAAAGTGGCGCGAAACTTAAATGAACCAATCACAACACGGGGAATAGTAAATATAAACATGAA